TCCTCGTCCCCGAGCAGCAGCGGGGTGGCAAGCTGAAGCCGAAGGCCAAGTGGGGCCTTCATCTCGGCGTGTCGGAGGCGAGCAAGGGCTGGGAGCTCCTCGACATCGCCGACAACCGGGTGGTCACCACGTCGGACGTGGTGTTCTACGAGGACCTGTCGCTGGAGGAGTGGAGGTAGGAGCATGGCCCCGTGTCAGGGCGGACACTGATGGCCACGCCGACGGATACCTCGACGGCAACGCTCCCTCTGCTCGCTGAGGTCGGTGAGCTTGCTGAGGACGACGCCGAGGTCGTCCACCCTTCCTCTACCCCCCCTGCCCCTCCCCTCGTCGACCTGCGTGGGCTGACTCCGCCGTCGGCCTCCGGCGATGAGGGGAGCAGTGGGTCGTCGCCTGTGGCGCCGGCGCCGACCAAGGGCATCGCCGGTGGCCGCCGGGACAAGCAGCAGGTCGACCTGGGAGGGAAGTCGACCTGGATAGGGGGGAAGCAGGCCGAGGAGGTGCAGCCGACTTGGGTGAAGCCGACAGGGGAGCAGGCAGCAGCGAGGCCGACCAAGGAGCAGTCGGCGACCTGGCAGTCGGCAGGGGAGCTGACCGCAGGGGAGAAGTCGGTCGGGACGCCGACCGAAGTGCAGCAGGACAACGAGGACGGCGGTGAAGATGAAGGGGAGCAGTTGGGCGACGAGGAACTGGTCGACCAGGCGGTGGTCGACCCGCCTGAGCCCCGGAAGTCAGGTCGACTTCGGAGGCCTCCCGACTTCTTCGTCCCCACTGCCTTCACCACGGTGTACGACGTGGAGGACGACGACGACATCCTGTACGACGACGCCGACGAGGACGAGGAGTTTCCGGAGCTCGACCCCGACATGCTGGCCGACCCCGACCACCGTTGGGACATCTCGACGATGACGGTGAAGGAGGCGTTAGCAAGCTGGAAGGGCCCGGCGGTGAAGGCCGCCATGGAGGAGGAGATACGCAGCCTCATCAACATGGGCACGTGGGAGCTCGTCGAACGTCCACCGGGAGTGAACGTCATGAAGAACCGGTGGGTGCTGACGACGAAGTACCACATCGACGACACCGTCGAGCGCGAGAAGGCGAGGCTGGTCGTGAAGGGCTTCACGCAGGTGTACGGCGCCGACTACGACGAGACGTTCGCGCCGGTGGGCAGCTACGTCACGCTGAGGATCTTCCTCAGCATCGTCGCCGTGCTCAACCTCAACCTGATGCAGCTCGACATAAAGAACGCCTTCCTCCAGAGCAAACTCGATCGGGTGCTCTACATGTCCCAGCCGGACTACTTCAACGACGGGACCGGCCGGGTGTGCAAGCTGCTGAAGAGCCTGTACGGGCTGAAGCAGTCGCCGCTGCTGTGGTACTTGGCGCTCAACGACGTGCTGGTCGGTGCCGGGTGGAAGAAGAGCCAGGTCGACGAGGCTCTGTACTTCAAGGTCGGTGCCGACGAGGTGACATGCTGGGTGCTGGTCTACGTCGACGACCTGCTTGCCGCCAGCAGCAGCGCCGAGATGCTGAAGGAGCTGAAGGAGCTGCTGGAGGCTGCCTTTGAGCTGCGTGAGATCTCGCCGGTGCAGAAGTACCTCGGGCTGGAGATCGTGCGCGACAGGTCGGCGGGGAAGCTGTGGCTGCACCAGCAGGGCTACGCCGACAAGCTGCGTAGGCGCTTCATCGACGAGGAGCAGGGCGGACGGACTCCGAAGACGCCGGTCTCGGTCGACGCCTACGCCGAGCTCACCTTCGACGACGAGGAGGCACAGGAGCGACAGGAGGAGGAATACCGGCAGAAGGTCGGCTCGCTGCAGTTCGCGGCGACGACGACGAGGCCGGACATCGCCTTCGCCTGCAGCAAGCTGGGGAGCGGCCTCACGGTGAGGAGCGACCAGCACTGGCGCGAGGTCGACCGCTGCCTCGCCTACCTCGCCAACACGCGTGACACCGCCCTGGAGTTCGGCGGTGGACCTGAGTCGCTGGAGCTGGTCGGCTACGTGGACGCCGACGACGCCGGTGACAAGCAGAGCAGGACGAGCACGGGCAACTACTTGTTCGTCTACGGAGGGGCCGCGGTCTCCTGGTCGAGCTAGCGCATCAAGTGCGCGACACTGTCGTCGACCGAGTCGGAGTACGTGGCGGCCGTCGAAGCCGGCAAGGAGGGACGCCGACTTCGCTTCCTCCTCGCAGAGTTCCAGCAGTTGGATGCTGGGAAGCCGACCGTCCTTCGGGTGGACAACAAGTCGGCCATCACGGTCGCCGAGGGCATGGGGTTGACGGGCAACCTCAAGCACATGGAGCGGCGACAGGCCTGGCTGCAGCACATGGTGAAGCGGGGGAAGTTTGCGCTGCAGTACATCCCGACCGCTGAGCAGCCAGCCGACTTCCTCACGAAGGCGCTGCACTATCCGGCTTTCAACCGGTGCTCCGTCGCCATCGGCCAGGTGCGCTTGGCCGACGTGGGCGACGGAGTTGACGAAGTGCAGCAGTAGGTGCCATGCCCTTTTGCATGGCTGGTGCGGTGGACGACGTGCTGTGTGTTGGGTGCACGTCGACGAGCTGTTCTCCGAGCAGTGCTGCCGTAGGGGCTGGAGGCCCAAGCGTGAACGCGGCAGGGGAGTGTCAACGGGAGTTGGGTGTTGGCCCCGTCCTCGCTTGGGCGGAGCCGACTTCGTGGTCGGATGTAGGGGTGCAGCCGACCTGCAGCAGTGGGCGAGTTGGTCGACGAGGTTGGTCGACCTGCACGGGGAGCCACTGCATGGGCGCCGACTTCAGGAGGGCGCCAACTTCGGCTGGTCGACCTGGGAAGTCGACCAGCCCTTCTGGTCGACCTGGGACGTCGACCAGACCTTCTGGTCGACCTGGGAAGTCGACCAGACCTCGTGGTCGACCTGGGACGTCGACCAAACCTTCTGGTCGACCTGGGAAGTCGACCAGCCCTTCTGGTCGACCAGGGACGTCGACCAGGCCTTCTGGTCGACCAGGAGTGACGTCGACTTGAAGCTGGTCGACCAGGGGGTAGTGGTCGACCTGGGGAGGTCGACTGGAGGTGGCCGTCGACTTGGGAGGTCGACCGGAAGTGGTCGTCGACCTGGGTGGTCGACGGGCACGCACTGGAGCCTCTGGTCGACCAAGTTACCTGGGTGACGAGGTGCTGCGAAGGCTTGCGAAGGTCGCCCAGGTGGTTTTGGCGAGGACGACCTCGGTGATGGTATCCCGAGGTCGACGTGGTGCATCAGATGCAGTCGTCAGCACGAGGTGGACTTGGTGTGTGCGCTGTGCAGGTGACGAAGCAGTGCGCGCCAATCACCTACGAGCACCTGCGAAGCGGGTGCGATGCTGGACTGCAGGAGCAACGCTGGCGCGCCGTCGACTTGCGCTGTTGTCACGTCGTCGACCTGCAGCGTTGGCAAGCCGCGACTCTGCACTGCTGGAACGCGGTCGACCAAGTCGTGCTGGCGCGCGGTCGACCGTGCTGTGCTGGCAGTCGACCTGCTTGCATGCTAGCTCTGATGTAGTCTTGCCTTGCCAACTTCATTGTATCATTGTTGTCAACTTTCTCTAGTGAAACTCTTGCCAAATTACCTTGTGAACTAGCAAGCAGTGTGTGCACTAGGAAAACGACTAAGGACCAACGAACGCAGAGATCACACGAGCACACGTGCCTAGCCCGTAGTCTAGCTCCCGTTGTCGTAGTTATCTCCGCACATACATCCATACATACGTACATACGTACATACGTACATACGTACATACGTACATACGTACATACGTACATACGTACATACGTACATACGTACATACGTACATACGTACATACGTACATACGTACATACGTACATACGTACATACGTACATACGTACATACGTACATACGTACATACGTACATACGTACATACGTACATACGTACATACGTACATACGTACATACGTACATACGTACATACGTACATACGTACATACGTACATACGTACCTACGTACATACGTACATACGTACCTACGTACATACGTACCTACGTACCTACGTACCTACGTACCTACGTACCTACGTACGTACATACGTACATACGTACGTACATACGTACGTACTTACGTACGTACATACATACATACATACATACATACATACATACATACATACATACATACATACATACATACATACATACATACATACATACGTACGTACGTACGTACGTACGTACGTACGTACGTACGTACGTACGTACGTACGTACGTACATACATACATACATACATACAGATATATATGTGGACAGAATATCTGTATAGGCCTTCAACTTGCCCAATCTGGTTCAAATACATGCATTTTGAGATGTCTTTGTATTGGAAAGTATCTGTCACTCTCTTCATTCATTCCCTTATTTCCTACTCTTGTTGATAATCAAACAACCCCTTTAGTTGCTACTTTTGTTTATATCTTTGCTTACTGGTGCCTCTTATCACTTTTCACACCACATTCCACTGTTTCTTCTCATCCTCCCTCCCATCGCACCACCTAACCATGCAGGCGAAGGTGGCGGATTTTGGGTTCATGAGGATGATGGAGGCGAGCAAAGTGAACCCCACCAGGGTGATGGGCACACCGGGCTATGTGGACCCCGAATACCATGACACACACCTCGCCACAACCGCCACCGACGTGTACAGGTGAGAGGTGCTGGCCGGCGATGCTACTTGGAGATGTAACCGGTCGGTGTGGGGTGATGGGCACACCGGGCTATGTGGAACTTGGATACCACGACAACCACCTCGCCACCAGTGCCACAGACGTGTACAGGTGAGCACTGTTGTCTCGTTTACCTTAGAAATCATAGCCTGTAGCGCTCGGATATGTGGAACCGATAAGTACCCTAGCGCCACCACCGGTATGTACAATTGAGCAGCACCCCGGTCCATTGGAGCTGTAGTAGCTGTGGGTGCTAGTCAGTTCGTGAGTCACATCTGCAGTAGCTGCAGTAGCTTGTGGGAATGAGCTCTCGGATCTGCTCAGCTACAAGGTGACCCGACCCTTCCCCTTTCCCCTATCCTCCAAAATCAGAGAGCTGGTGCTGGAGCCTCGGCACAGGTTGGGAACCCATCTTGCTCGGCAAGAAGCTGATCTGTTGTATCCACTCCTCTTTCTGCAACCACACCAACCAACCTTCCCCCCCTCTCAGTTTCGGCGTGCTGGTGCTGGAGCTGCTAACAGGCAGGGACCCCATTCTCTCTGTTGATGGCTCTCAGTCGCACATCCGGGAATGGGTGAGTCGCACTCCCCTCATCACTATACTACCTCTCTTGTTGTCAGCATTGTTAGGTTGCATCTCAAGACCCAAGCACTCATGGCTCCAGTCCTACTATCTCCCCTTCATACCCTCCTTTCAAGAGCTTCATTTAAGAACTTGCTGCTACTTATCTCTCCTCCCTCCCACCCATCCTCTTAAACATCCGTCCCCTCCAAATCATTTCCTCTTGCCCCATCTTCTCGCGTACAGGCAACAGCAGAGCTCTCTAGCAGTGACGTCAGCTCCATCATTGACCCGCGCATGGCTTCCCCTGCCGCGCTTACCGGTGATGTCAGCATGGTGCATGCTGACGTCATGCAGAGCCTTGCATCCCTGGCGTTGGAATGCACTGCCATGCCCGCTGCCTCGCGCCCCTCCATGGCCAAAGTGCTCTCGCAGCTGAAGCAGCTTCATGAGGAGGTGGTGAGGCGGGAGAGGGAGAGTGGGTTGGAGCAAGGGAGTGGGTTCATAGGGGTGGATATGGGTGTGGGAGGAGTTGGAGGAGTGGGTGGGGTGGTCAAGGAGAAGTGGGAGAGCTCAGCAGATGGGCCATCAGCCATCAGTGTGACACCAGTGACGGCTGTGAGGGATACGACAGGCAGCTTGGAAGGGAATGACAGCTCGAGCGCTGGAGAGGGGACAAGTGGGGGGGCGAGTGGAAGCATGGCTGGTTATCGCACCTGAGGAACACTTGGAGCTTTCGAGGTGAAGCTGTGCATAGCCGATTTGTTTTATACTACCTTCTTCATTTTAAGAATTGTATTCCTCTTTGAGAGGTTTGTTTTTATTTTCGACTACGCTTGGAGAGATTATTTTTTCAGAGAGGAGCTAAACTTCGTTTGATAGGAGCTTATTGGTAGGTTGGGGGATAGGGGTAAAATGTTCATGTAAGAAACTTTATTTTCTACGGTATCAGTGGAACTATTTTTTATCCGTTTTTCACAAATTCGCACGAAACTGTTTTTACAGGGTGGAATGTGCATTAATACCCTGGCAGCCAGGTGAGCAACGAACCGAACCTGGTTCGGTTCGCTCGAACCGGTTCGAATTAAATTGATCCGAACCTTTTTTCTCTTGAAAAAAGTTGGCGCAAACCTTGAAAAGGTTCGCGCGAACCGTTTGCTCAAACTTTTATGATTCGAGTTTAGAACCTGTTCGAAGTTCAAACCTGTTCGAAGTTCAAAACAGCAATTTTCAAACCTGTTCGAACCAAACCTGTTCGAAGTTCAAAATAGCAATTTTCAAACCTCGCTTGGTTTGAATTAAACCCCGCCAGAACCCACTCAACTTTCCTGTCAAAATCGGAAAAGTCGTGAGTTTGGCTGCAATTTCATGGCAGCCGACACTACGATCGTAAGTTAGGTAGAGAAGATCTAGATCTGCTCCTAAGAACCACACCCAAGCTCCCGCACTACTCCCTCTTAAGATGCGTCATACGTACGTCTAGGTGTTAAGTTAGATACGGTAGTAGACTGCTTAACCGTCTGATGCGCATGCCTTTTACATTTCCTTGTGCATCATATTTACCTCCAAACCTAACTAGGTTCGAGTTCGCACAAACCTTTCAAGGTTTGAGCAATCCAAGGTTTGATGTTACATATACAACCTCAAACCTCAACATTCAATAAGAAGTTCGAGCAAACAAGTTCGGTTCGGTTTGACCCCCGTGCAAGGTTCGGAAAAGTTCGAGCAAACATGTTTGTGTTCAGCTTGTACACAGCACAAAAAGGTGTCGTCGAAGCGCTACTCGCCCTTCTCCGAGTACAAAAGCTAGGGTTTCGGACATTTGGCCTCACCCACATTTCATTTCAAACTTTTAAGTTCAGAAGTTTGCCCGTCAAACTGGCGAAAATCTGCTCTCTTCCGTTTACCCTCCGCGCTCCTAACGGACATTTTTAACCACAGCGCTTTTGCAATGGCGCCTACTAACGACAACCACGCGGAGGCTACGAACGGGAACGCCCAGCCTATTTCTGAGTCCGAAAAATAGTCGGGCCCCCTCCACTGCTGTGGAGGTTATGCTCAGAGGAGAACCGAGTGCAGCACCCGCCCCTGCACATCGCGAGAGTCAGCAGCAGCAGCGCATGGAGCACACGCCTGGCGAGAAGGCGCTAGACGCAGCTGACGTCACCCCTGCCGCGTCTGACATCGCGCCTCGCGCAGGCACACGCGGTCAAGGCAGTCGCGCGCCTGCGCAGGCGGACGGCCACACGCCCACCCCTGCCCCAGTTACGGCCTCCCCAAGCTTGTCGCCGGACCAGAAAAGTGCACTTCTGGCACTGTTACAGCAGCAGCAAACGGCGGTTACACGTTCAATCACTGAAAACGATACAAATTTATCTGCGAAACCAGAGAAGAAATGCGATACATCTTCGCCTCTTCGGGCCGCCAAGCTGTCGCGCCACGCCGAGGCACCTTTCAACCCGGCAACCACCACGCCGCTCAACGACCCTGATGAAGACAGCGACAACGACAGCGATAATGGTGAGGCCCTCCCCGCCATCAATCACCCCACCATCAGTTGTTGTGCCTTCAATCAAGTAATTTCTACAGGAACATGTGACAATAAAAGCGCAAAGATAGAATCCAACAAAACATAAACCAATTTGCACCTCTTGTCATTGCGAACTACGGTAAATCGAGTTGTTGTTATTGGGTGTACACCATTCAAAACTCATGCAAGTTGATGAGAAATTATTCCCTTTTCAACACACAAGATTGCTTTATCACCTAGAGGAGATCTTGAGTAGTAAGCGGAGTTGGTTCGACAAGTGAGAGTGATCGTTGCAAAAAAATTCTGCTCTGTTGGGGAGCTCTACTTCATGGTGTATGCATAGGCACATTACTTGGTCATTCATTGAGAATATTCTTATTGAAGTGTTGGAAGGCCAGAGTTTGCACACAAAAATTAACTTGGATTGTAGATAATAGAATACAACAACTGAATATGAAGTACCTGACTACTAACCCATAATGGAATGTTCACGCATGAATGTTTATCTAATCATTACATGCGAATTACCAAGTCAGCAATGGCAGGTGAAATTTACAATACATGCTTAGTTGGTAGTTATTACCTACTGTAAAAGTGTTGTAGTAAAATAAAGCATCAAAATAAAGCATCAGCGGGTGTTATATCCGGGGTGTGTGAACTATACAGGAACCTCAATACTCCCCATTTTGTCAAACATTGCATGTTTATATTATGTAGGCTGTAGTGGGTTACACCTTAGGGGGTACTCAAAGTTAGGGTTTCCTACTTGTACCAAACTCTGTGCTAGTTCATTCCATTCCTGCTCAGTTATTTCTGACATGGTTTCAGAGCAGGTCCTTCGCTAGGACTGTTCTTAGGGCCCACCGACTTACCTACCTGCTTACCTTCGCTTGTTTCCGGCCCCGCTGGCCCCGTCGATCTAGCACGATCTAGCGGCCCTGCGGCCCCCTTCGAATTTTTTTTCCTAGCGGCCTCTCACGGCCCCCGTCGCGTCGCCCCTTAGCGCCCCGATCGGCCCCGTCACGCCGCCCGCGAACCGCACAGCGCGCCGCGCTCACAGCCCGCGAACCGCCCACGCACAGCCCGCGAACCGCCTGCGCAGCCCGCGACCAGCCCGCGCAGCCCGCGCACAGCCCGCGAACTGCCCGCGAGCAGCCCGCGACCTGCCCGCGAACCCCCGCGAGCCGCCCGCGACCCGCTTACGCAGCCCGCGAGCAGCCCGCGCAGCCCGCGCTGAGCCTGCGCGGCTCTTGCGCTGACCGCCGCCGGCCCGCACGCTGCCCGCGCAGCTCACATACGGCCCGCACGGCCCGCGCGCTGCCTGCTCCCGGCCCGGCGCTACTGAGCCCGCAGCCGCCCGCGCACCGCTGCTGCTGAGCCCGCCGCCGCCCGCGCACCGCCGCTGCTGCGCCCGCCGCCGCCCGCGCACCGCCGCTGCTGCGCCCGCCGCCGCCCGCGTATCACCGCTGCTGAGCCCGCCCCTGCTGCGCCGGCTCTCGCTGCCGCCTGCTGCGCCTGTGCACCACTGCAGATCCTACTACTACACTTCCTGCTACTGCTGCTTGTGCGCCACTACAGTCCGTAGGCCCCACCGGCCCCGCTGACCCTGCGCACGCCTTTTCAGTGACTTTACTGCTTCTACTACTGCCGCTGTCGCTATGGCTAGTCCTCCTGTTCTAGCTTTCGATGCCGAGGGCCGTCCGGTCAAATTCGAAACCTGGCTAGATGACCTGCACCTTTTCCTACAGCTCACTGCCAAGGAAGATATTACACTGTACGACCACGCTCTCGGCCATGCGACCGCCCCACTCGCTACTGCCCCCCCAGCTGAGCGCTCACAGTGGCAGACCCGTGACGCGCACGCTCGCTTTGCTATTCGCAACTCCCTGCCGCTAGATGAGCGCGAGCACTTCGGCCAGTGCAAGACTGCTAAGGACCTCTACACGGCTGTAGTGGCCCGCTACTCCTCACCCGCTTCTGCCACGCTAGGCCGCCTCACTCTCCCCTACCTGTTCCCCGACCTAGCCTCCTTTCACACTGTCGCAGACCTCATCACCCACCTTAAGACTAGTGAGGCTCGCTTTCGCGCTGCCATGCCTGACGAGTTCCTCGCTAGCAACCCCCCCCCGCTCTGGATCACTCTCTACCACGTTGTCACCCGCCTCCCTGACTCTCTGCGCCCTGTCAGGGACCAGTTCCTCTCTCGCTCCCCCACTGAGCTCACCGTAGACCTCCTCGAGAAGGAACTGCTTGCAGCCGAGACTAGTATCGTCGCTGTAGGCACCTCTCGTGGCGACCCCCGCGGCCCCTTCTTTGAGGGGTGCTCCCCTTCCCCCCTCCTCCCCTCTGTCGCCTCTGCTGCTGCTGTCGACCTCCTTGGTGCTGAGAAGGTCGGGGCTGCGTCTGCTTCAGGCGGACGACGCAGGGGCAGGAGTGGCAGGAGTGGGGGTGGTGGCGGAGGAGGCGGGGGTGGAGGTGGTGGCGGTGGAGGTGCGACTGGAGAGGCTAGTGGCGGCAGTGGTGGAGGTGACAGCGGCGTTGGGAGTGGTGACAGGGGCGGAGGTGGCAGCGGAGGCGGAGGTGGTCGTGGCAGCGGCAGGGGTGGAGGTGGCCGGGGCGGAGGCGGAGGGGGTGGTGGTCGTGGAGGCCCGGGGGGCGGTCAGAGTCAGCAGCCTGCCCCGACCCTTCAGGCCGCCCGTGAGTGGTATGCGCGGCGCAGCGTCACCTGCCAGTACGTTATTCGTACAGGTGACCGCACTGGCCAGACGTGTGGGGGGCCGCACCAGACGGAGCGCTGCTTCGCCCGCCTCAACGATGCGTGGCGCACCCAGTTTCCTGGTGGGGGTGAGCTGCCGCGCTGGGCTGAGCTGCTCAGGAAGGGTGTTGATATTTGGGCACTAGACTTTGATGCTATTCTCACTGCCATGTATGCGATGTCTATTAGTGGAGAGGGTGCTCAGTACTTGCGTGTTCCGCCCGACCCGGGCATTCAGGCCAGCCCCGCTGCTGCTCTAGGTGCTAGTGTGTCTGCTTCCACAGGTACTACTGCAGCTGCTGCTCTAGGTGCTTGTGCGTCTGTGCCCCCTGGTACTGAGTCGACTGCAGCACTGCACACCTTCACACTGGACTCAGGTGCTTCTCGCTCTTTCTTTCGTGACCGCACTGTCCTTGAGCCTCTAGCTCGGCCGGT